TAATAAGGTTGTGTGTTTGGGAGTGAGATATTAATTGTTTTGTAGAGTTTTTTAATTTAAAAATATATTAAAAAACTATTGTTTAATTAATAAAAAATAATTTTAAATAAAAAACCATCATTTTCAACGCAATCCCAAATATCTTTAAGATAGCAATTCATAGAACTCGCATGTGTTTTTCCTTTGTTCTTAAATATTTTTGTTTTTTTAATTGCATCATTCTGTCACTAATTCGAAGAACACTTTTTTATAATTTGTCAGAGAAATTTAACAAAATAGGATTCATGTGTAAAAAAATGGAGAGACACATGGTTAATCTTACAGCCGCATGAAAACATTCTTTTATTACACCTACTTTTGTTCTTCCTTCTCTATGGTCCCTTTAGACCTTCATCTTGCCTTTAATTATCAATTAATTTTATTAAATACATGCATGCGTGAATTGGAGAAGACAAAGTGGGTGGGAGAAAGTAGATCGATGTCAACCTACCGCGTGTTTAAGGCTTGTCAAGCTAACATAGATTGATGTCAACCTAACAATTAGCAAAAAAATCTCTTCAATAGTGGAGGAAAGGGTGCAATCAAGGATAAGTTGAATCCACTTAAACTAGGTTTGATATCTGGTGTGTGTTTGTAAATATGGTGGATGATATTCTTATAAAAGTAGTTTTTAATTAAAAATATATTGAAATAATATTTTTTATATTTTTTTAAATTAAAAAACCATCTAGAAGTATCTCAAAAAATATGATCATTCGTGCTCCCAGCATGTTCCAAATGGTTTCTAGGGTTCATCGTTGAATGTTATTTCAGCTGAAAGTAGATGGGTTTTTTTTTTTTTTTTTGGGGGGGGGTTATTTTACCCTTCCTCTCTGTGACCTCATCCTCTAGGAGTTGGTTGAGGAAGAAGAAAAGGTGGGTGGGAGGAAGTAGTAGAAGAAATGAAAAGACAACCAACCCGTAAACTGAGAATGTCGCACCATCCATTCCTTGCTCCCGACCATGCCAAATTAAGGATAAAAAATCATTGATCTCCCCTCTCCTTCCTCCTCTCCGTTCCTTGTTGGGCCACACAGAGTTCCTCCTCTCTCTCTTTTTGCCTGGAAAAAAACACAAATAAACGGGTGAAAGAAAGAGGTGAAAAGCACGCATGAACGGACATTAAATTTTAAGAAATTGTTTGAGCATGGAAGGGGTCGTGACTCCTGCCTGCAGCTCCTGACTCTGGTATCAACAGTGTGATTATTCCCGTTATTTTCTCGCAAACACCTCAAAAAAACTTTGATGCAATACATAACGTACGTTCGGTTTCTATGATGCCATGCAAGCCATCTTAATTATAATGCCTAGCTTTTCTATGTGACAATATCATTCAAAAATTATGAAGGGCCCGTTTCATGTTTTTGGTTTTATAATTTTTTTTAAAAATATTTATTTTTTTACAAAGCAACACTGATTTAATTAAATTAAGAAATATATGAAAGATATCATAAGTGGGGTGTTGGCTCCAACATTAAAGCCAACGTAATACTATTTTTCTTCTCTTACCTGTACTTGAATGGATGATCTACTACCAAGAATGGATCTTCTTCTCCTCCTTTCCTGACGACACAGAGGCAAGTTGATGCTTTTCCCTTTTTATTCCTCCTCTTTCTTGCCATTATAGACTTTGCATGGCTTGCTTCTTCTTCTTTTTTCCCCTTTTTACTCCTCCTCTTTCTTGCAGTTATATTTTTACCTACTCAAAAATTAACTTTTTAATTCCATTGCTCTTGTTTCTCTCGTAGTTGTCAAACCAGACTAAAGATCCAAGTCACTAGATCAATTCATAAACGAAGTGGTTTAGGGCAAAAACTAAAAAATAAGATTAAATCTCACATAGTTTTGCCTACATCTATGTCTAAAATCACACTTATAAATGTCCAATAGGTGTTTAAGCTTCTATTGATACGAGTTAAAAGGAAATAAGAATGACTCAGCGTGACCAGTAAAAAACATGTGTCAACCCGCAATACAAGATAGAACTAGGACCTTAACCCATTGACTTTTTATAAATTCTTTATTAAAATAACGTTGTTTTGATTATTTTTTTTGAGTCAAGTCGTGTTGACCCTCTTAATCCACAATTTAGGTAAACTTGCCCTTAACTCGTTGACTTTTGTTGTGAAAAAAAAAAAGATCAAAACAATATTGTTTTGAAGTCAACTTGAGATAACCTTCCCAACATTTGACACCAGGGTTTTATTCTGAATTGACTTCTAAGTTAAATTTTATTACTTTGTCAAAAATTAATAAAAAAAACCTCTAGTCGAGCTAGGTTCTAAATCAATGGGTCGTTAGATCAAATCATTAGACCGGGTTTGATAAGTATAATTTCTCTTATGGTGGATTGTATTGGGATGTGAAACTTTAGTATCATACTAGGTAGATGATCCGCGCTTCACCGTGAGTCAAATAATTTTTTATGCAATGCAAAAAAAAGTTGTTAAAGTGTTGTTATTGTATTTAAAAAAAAAAAACTCACGACCTAATATCATCTAAAGAGAAATAAAAATAATGATGATTGTCAATCTTCATAAATCAAAATGTAGAATGATAAAATTAAAAAAAAATCAATGAAAAAAATTACTAAAACACAAAGCACCAACAAAAGCAAGTGAAGTTTTCAAAACCAGCGGGTAGTATCATGTAGATAGGATAATTAAATAGAAAGAAAAAAAACAAATTTTAATTTTAAAAAGAATTAAATTTGGAAGGACCAAAAAAAAAATGATTAAAAAAAAATGACGTCAAAGAAAATTAGACCACCTGGATAAATAAAACTTCTTTTTTAAAAACGAACAACTTCAAAATATATAATTGAGAAAGAAAACGATATTGACCTATGTAAAATTTTTAAACCTACGATCCTAGCTATTGACTAAACTAGAAGTATCACATCTGGAAAGCAACTATTTTAAAACTTGACTCAACCTGATGATTTGACCCATAACTAGATTGAGCTTTAAAAGAAATTGAGGGAAAATTAATCAAGTGTAAGAATGTCAAAAACCCGAGTTGACCCATGTTTTGGTTAGCTCAAGAAAAAACTAATCAAAACAAGATCAAAACTCATTGACTATTTTTTTAAAAAAAATGGTGTCATTTTATTTTTTTATATAAAACAAAAAGATTTGGTTAGCTTAGATTAACTCGAGTTAATCTACTCGACTTGTAACCTAATCATTATTGCTGATTGACTCCTAGGTAGGGCTTATAGACAATGGAAAAAACCTAAGAGATCAAATCCTAATAATTGAAATGTCGAATGATTAAACAAAAAAACTAAAGGATAAAGAAATAGTAATTAAAAAAATAAGAATCTTTTTAAAAAAAAAATTAAGAGTAGAAACAAAAATCTTGAATTGAAGGGCAAATTAAAAAAACAAATTAAATTAACAAATAAAAAAAAAACAAAGAATACCAATTCACAACGAACTCAATGATAATAGATGAATTTTTAAAAAAAATAATAAAAAAATAACTGAAGCCAACCCAATCCAACTTTTAGAATTTTGTGACACGTATCATGAGACCGGATCACAACATAAAAGTTAAACCTTAAAAAATAATAATATAAAATTCATAACCAACCAAAATAATTAGGGATAAACTTGAAAAAATAAATTAAAAAACAAAGTGATTTAAAAATATAGATTTAAAAAGAACGAGAATTAAATATAATACAAAAATAAAATAAAGCCAAATCATAAGAGTAAAATTGAAAAATAATTTCAATTTAGAAAAGGATAAAAATAGTTAAAAATAGCAATCCAAAAAATAAAAACTATATTTGATATAAAAATAAAATGTGAATAGATGAAATTCGAAGACAAATCAATTCAATAAAGGATTTAAGATCAAATACATCATAATTAAAAGAATGAGAATTAAATCTAATATAAAAACCAAGTAAAAAAATAAGAATCAAATCTAATATAAAAACCAAGTGCAAAGGGATGAATTTGAATAAAAAATAACTTGATAAATAATTCAATACCAGATACACTTTAATTAAAAGAATAAAAAATAAATCTGAAGGTCTATTGTGAATGAATAAAATTGAAAAAACTAACTCAATAAATAATTTAAAATAAAAGACATTACAATAAAAAAATAAAAACTTAATTTAATTTAACAAATAAATAATTAGACCTTGTTTCTTTGTAATTCGCAATATAGTTTTCTAGGAAGAGAGAGGCAGGGAAAACCTCCCGGTCGGAGCTCCTCTACATGCCACCTCGACACACACGCCTCGTCATCTTGCTTGGGGTGGCAAGGCGAATCAAACATCATCCCATAAGACAGTGTTTTGTGCTATTTTGATTCCTCATGCGCCACTTGATTGGCGCAAGCAGCATTCATTTACTAACACATGCTCCGCGCCAACCATTTTTTAATATATATATAATTACACGCAACCCCATCTTATAACTATATTAAAATGATAAAAAGACTCTTACAGCCTTTTGTTTTTTAAAATCTAAAAGTAATTTTGTATTTTCACTATTTATAAAATCTAAAAGTAATTTTGTATGTTCACTATTTAAAAAAAATGGAGAAACTCCTAAATATATGTATATTTTTTCCCTCTCATTGTAACTTCATTGTTTAATTTTTAAACTATTTTATCCTTAATTATTTTTTTAATGATAAATATATCCCATAAAAAAGATAATTATATTCCTAATTGCATGCTAAGCTAATTATTTTTGTTTTTAATTTTGCAAGAACAATTTCGTCTTTACATTATTTCAATCTTAAGTAATTTGTGTGTTAGTGAACACTGAAAAATGAGTAGATATAGTCTCTGTTTTTTTTTTTAATTTTGAAAACACAAAACCACGTATCGACATTTTATAGGCTGTGGCGTTTAAACAAAGCAACGGTCATCCTCATCAACCAATTAAACGCCGCCATCTACACCCATCACAGCATGTAACCGTAGGCATAAATCGCTTAAAAAATTCCCAACCGAGAAAACCTCCTTCCCTCTATCTCTCTCTTCTGTGGTTCAAAAAACAGAAAAGAAAAGGGAAATGGCGTTATCCTACACCACAACAATTGCCTCTTCACTACTTCCTGCAGCAACTCCTTCACTTCCAAATAAAAAGGTAGAATAATTCTTAACTTTTAACTATGCATGTATATAAAATCAGTTAGTTACCAATTTGATGTTTGTAACTGACAGAGTTTTTGGATAGAGAAGGAAGCCCTTTTCGGAATTGCAAGTAAATTAACAGTACCCAGAAATGGAAGGAGTTCTTCTGTTGAATTCGATGTGCCATTTCCTCGTGATTATGAGGAGCTTCTTGATCAAGTAAGCACTTTATCTATTTTTTTTAAAAAAATGATCAAGTAAGCACTTTATCTATTTTTTTTTTTTTTAAATAATGTATGTGCCGATGCTTGAAATCTTGAGAGTTGTTCGATGTTTTTTCTTTCCTTTTTCTTGTTTTAGTGTGTGTGTGTGTGTGTTTGTTGATAATTGATTACTAACAGGCCAAAAAAGCAACTGAATTGGCTTGGGAAGATAACAAACAGCTGATGGTTAGTAACAAAATTAGCTATTTACTAATTAAAGTAATAGAATTCACAATATTACATTCTGTGAACGACAAGCATTTGTTGTTTTTCAGGAGATTGAATTCCCAACAGCCGGACTCGAATCTGTACCGGGTTCTCTTCACTTGCCATTGATATCTTTTTGGTTCTTAATTTTGATTTCTCTTTTTATTATTGCCGTTACTATACATGGGTGTAGCAGGTGACGGTGAAGGAGGAATAGAGATGACTGGAAGCATGCAGTTAATTCGTGAATTCTGTGATCGTTTTGTAAGTCCAGAAAAGGCTACAAGGACCAGAATTGTATGTATCCTTGATTTGCTTCTCTCTCTCGCTCTCTCTTTTTATTCATTAATGTAGATAGGAAAAATCACAATGTTTTTTTATGATGATTTCACATCTAAGAAATTTTATTCCCATGTAGGATTTTGCATATCTTCCTAGGAGGGTTTTTTAGTTGGTTCTTTATTCATTTGATGCTGTTGATCATTCTGAATCTGGTCTACTTATTCAAGCATTTGGCTCTGTTTACAAACCTGTCCATGAATTTGTCTCAGTTCTTTCCAGAGGCTAATGAAGTTAATTTTGCAAGACAATCAGCATTTGAAGGATCTTCGCTTAAGTTGGACTATTTGACAAAGCCATCTTTTTTCGAGGATTTTGGTTTTGTTGAAAAAGTCAAAATGACAGACCGTGTGAAGCCAGAGGATGAACTGTTCCTAGTTGCCTATCCATATTTCAATGTTAATGGTACCTTCTAACTTGCCATCTTGTTGATTAAAACTCCACACAGGCCTTATATCTCTTATTTGTTTTTTCGATTCAGAAATGCTTGTGGTGGAAGAGCTTTACAAAGAAGCTGTTGTGGAAACAGCCCGAAAACTGATTATATTCAATGGAGAACTTGACCGCATAAGATCTGGTTGTATCCTTTGCAAAATCTTATTTGTTTATTTCAGCTTTTAAAGCTTTTCAGTGCTATCCATACCATTTCACTGCATGCTGTGCTCATCCATTCCTCTTCAAAATCAATTTCCTGTTTTTTTTTATTATTATTATTTAACTTCAGAACTCCACTCTTCATGTTTCCATTTTTTTCTTCTTCAACTCCATGCATCATGGCATATTTTCTTTCATTAGTTGGTTTCTGATTTTCAGAAATTTAAGTCGAGTTTTATGTTCCTTAGCCCATGGTGTCCTTGATTGTACAAAGATTATCCATCCTTTTTCTATCCTAAGCTTGCCTCTCTTTTGAAGACACTCTTCCCATTGATGGAGACTGTATATTACGTTCACAATTTTAAAGGGCGCAATGGAGGAACCCTTTTCAGGTTTGTAGCCATTACTTGGTGAACTTCTGCTTATGCCTGAAGTACTTATTGCTGATCGTTTTTGTTCTTCTTCTAAATTCAAAGGCTGCTTGCATCTAATGGTTGTTTGGCTCAATAGATTTAATATTTTCTTATTGTTTTCAACCACAACTTATATTTCAAAACCGGTTTTCAGGTGCTACCCAGGTCCCTGGAAAGTCCTACGAAAAGTTAGGAATGCCTATACATGTTTGCATCAACAGGAAGCTATGCCCTCCCTTAAAGAAGTTGCCCTGGATATTCTGCCGTCAGTTTGAGAATTTCGGTATTCATTTGATCCCAGAGAAAATTTCAATTTATAATGACACGTAGTAACAATTTTAGTCCATGTTCCTTTTCTGTCTTTGAGCTGTCCATGTTGCAGATTTATACGTCCAAGGTATATATTCAAGACTCTAGCCTCATCCTTTGCGCTACCACCAACTTTTCCTGCTTCATCCATTGAAGAAGCATCCTTGAAATAGAAAAGGTGTGCTATTTTTATTATTTCAAATTATGAAAGACATGTTTATCATATCTGTTAGTGCTGTTACATTGATTGGTTTTTATTATTTGACCAATGTATATGAAGTTGGTTTTTGTTTGTGTTGAGAAACCACCTGTAAGTGGAATTACATTGATTGGGAATAGGAAAAAAGGTGCTTATATAGAAGGATGAACCATAGCATAATAGCCTAGACTTTTGAGCTGAAAGTGGTGTCCATTCGTGGATGTAAATCTGTTGTTGTATGGTGCATGTGCAGGCTTAGGGACAAACCCTTGTAATTTCCTGTGCAGATGGTTGCAAGTTTAATTTTATGGGTTGCAGTATGCAATGGTTCTGTCCAAGATGGTGATTATGATATAGGAAGGCAAAAATCTTAAGCAATCGTATGATTAACTTTGTTGGGAACTTAGCTCAAAACCGAGAGAAAAATAGGACACGAGCCACCGCAGAGTTCTCATTCTCATTTAATTGCTGCAATGAAATGAATATCAAGATGCCACAGTTAAAGACTGTAAAAGATGAGCTGATGTTTACTGCTTGGTTTGGTTTGAAAGAGAGCAGGTTGATGATGATTTATGAATATGAATCTGTCGAGTAATTTTTCCAAATGTCAATCACTCGTCGTTTTCTGTATAAAAAAAGATTGCCGCTTTTTATGGCTTTATGCATGTCAAATCCGATCACCTCATTTTGTTTCAAGTTCTTTTCTATTATGTCGGTAAATATAAATATATTGTTCAGAAAGCATAGCATAGCTCACGAGTGACGTCATGATGCCATCCATTCCTCACAACGTGTTTGACTGGCATATTAACAAAAACATTAAAATAGTTGGGGTTCAAATTCCTTGTAATGTGAACAGTGAATTAGGTCTTGACCATTTTTTTTATTCAATCTAGATTTCTCTACGTTAGGTTGGTTTAGAATTAGGGTTGTTGATTTGTTTTGGTTGGCATGGTATGGGATTTTTATGATGTTAGGAAATAAATCAAATATTCGGTTAATGTTTTATTTAGAAAAATCAAAATTAATTTTGTTGATTATTTTTCTATTGAATCCTACCAAGTTATTCTTTGTCATTTGGTTTTTGTAGAGCTTGATGTTTTTTTAATTTGATTATTGTATATTAAGCTGATATAGGGTTAAGTTTGGTATTTTATTTTAGTTGGCTTGGTATGAGATTCTTTTAGTGTTAGGAAACAAATTTGATATTTAGTTAATGCTTGATTTAAAAAAATTAAATTTATTTTTGTTGATTTTTTTTTAAATCTTTGTAGTCAATTTAATGAGTTATTGGTGAAATTTGTAGTAGAAAAATAAAATTCAAAGAAAAAGGACTGAAATAAAAAGAATAGAGAAATCATATCGCCAATCTAAAATTTTCAGTCATTTAAGTTTAAAATTTTATTTTATTTATTTTTTAATATTCAGATTATGAAAGAGAGAATCTAGTTGATGATCAAAATGGATGATATTGGTATTAATTATGTATAGTTATTCTTTTTTTATATTAAATTAAGAACCCAAGACAAAAAAAAAATGTTTTTTTTAATATATATATTAATAAAAAAAATGAAGGAATTACACTATAATTTTTTTAATAGCATTTAAATTATTTATTTTCCAACTAAAAATAATTTTATTATTATATAATTAAATAAAAAACACAAAGATCTCGTCATAATGTGAAATCAAATAATTTAATTTGCATCATTATTTTAGCTTCTTGGTTTAATTTTTTATTTTAATTAATATATTTATTATTATTTATTTGCGTATATAACTTTTGTTTTATTTTATTAAGTACACGTTAACTTTTTAATTTATAATGAAAGTTTTTTTTAATAGCAAAAAAATACTAATAACCTTTACCTTTTTTCATTAAATTTTTTTTTATCCCATAGTACAGTGTGAGAAATCAAAAAAGAGCATGTATGTATGTTTGTTTGTTTAAGGTGTGGTTGTGATTATTTTTTAAAATATTTTTTATTTAAAAATATATTAAAATGATATTTTTTTATTTTTAAAAAATTATTTTAATTTAAAAATATTAAAAATTATTAATCTTTTTTAAAAAATTATTTTAATTTAAAAATACTAAAAATTATTAATCTAAATAAAAAAAATTAAATTTTTTTAAAAATATTTTTAAAACTTAAAAATAAATATAGCTCAATGATGCTTAAGTGATAATTAGTGTCATCTCATTTGTTACAGCTTGATCCCACTAACTTATGCCACATAATCATCTCATGTCAGCAAATCCAAATAATCTTTACCTTTCCCTCTTATCTTCCTAAAAATCATTGCTCTCTTGATTCTCTTCTTTTCCAAAACCTCTAATTTCTCCCAAAAATCACAGCCCACAATGACCTTCTAGTGCCACCATCTTCATCCAAAATACCAAAAATCAAAGCCTATATTGCTACACCCTTACTTGGAGGAATGAAAGCAATTGGCGCATGCTTGATATTGGTACACAATCCTTATTCCATCATTTATTTTCACAATTCAATTTTATAAAAAAAAAATTATTTCAAGCATGTCATAAACATTGACTAGTATAATCCAAACATTTAATTTCTCGTTACATGATGTAGATTTAGTTTTTTTTTTATTATTTATTTACTATACTCCAATCCCATTAATCAAGGAATTGACCACTCAAATCACCCATTAACCAATAAATTAGTTTCTCAATCCCCTCCTAGTATTAAGGTATTATTATCATTAATTAAAGATTAGTTTCTCAATATGTTTAATAATCAAGGCATTAATCCTATTAATTAAAAATTATTTTTTACAATTAATCATTCATGCAATTCAATTTAAACTAGGATATAATTAAAGGATTTTCAACTATTTTAAAACAATTAATTAGATTCCTTAAAGGTATCGTGCACCTATCTAGAGCTTGAACTTGTGAAAAAGTTTCTTGTTATTGTGTTGAACTTGATGTCTTTCCTGTACCATTAGATAAACAATACATTTACGATTCAATTCTTAATTTATCATAAATTTGACTATGTACTCAATTATTCTAGTTCAATACCATATACAAGTTTTACTCTTTTAATATAACATGACGACACTTATTCAAAATTCATCTCTCACACAACATCATGCATTTTTCTCTCATAATTTTCTTAAGCAAATATAATTTTATTGCATGCTAACTTGTTTTCTCTTGGTTGACCTCATACACCATTAGAGGCACCATGCTTTTCTTCATAATTTAAGAACCATCACAATCAAATCTAACTTTATTGGTTCAATTCACCCTCCATTTGGTTCAATTCACCCTCCATTTGTATTTTCTCCAATTTTAAATTTCAAACCTTAACATAAAATTCATGATTTAAACATTAATTCTTTCAATTTATCAGAAACCCTAACACAAAATTCTGAAGGGGAAAGACAGTTTTTTAAGCAACAAATCAATGGCTAAACATATTTTGCTGGGAAGGAACAGTCCCAGGAAGCAAAGACAGTTTTTGAAGAGATAGAATACAAGCTATTCATTTCCTTCTCTGACTGACTGACTGCCCTTTCCAGCCACCAAAAGTCAAGTTTGAAACAAACTACTTCTATCCCAATGCAGATGTTTTTGGCAACATTTTGCTTAAATTGTCGCTGGTTTATGAGCAAGAAGGAAGCCATCTTGGAGGAATTCGCATAAAAATGATTGGGTAGAATGTGTCTGGGTGTATTGAAGGAGAAACTCCAGATTTGTGAACACATAAAATGCTGAATTACAAGCTTGCGGATAAAATTTTGATTTTATATTATTTGTTTGTCATGTCGAGAGACTTTTTTTATATATACATATTAAAAAAGTAGCTTATAAATTTAAAGATTACAAGAGAATAACATCATTTAAAAAAATTAATAAAATAATATATTTTTACTTTATCATTATGTTTATTAAATATTATTATTTCCAAACACAACCAAAAATAGTTATATAGTTATTGTGTATAAAAAACATGACATGTCATAAAATTTAAATCTCTTTTGAGATCAAAGAACACAGACAGATATAGAAAGACAGATATAAAATATAATTGTATTATTGATGAACTCGAATCATCTATTAAACAACGAAAATAGTGATAGATAAATGAGTTATATTAATATATTTTAAGATTTTTATGAATAGAATGTTATATTATTTAACTATTTGACTTATGTTTATTAAATATTATTATTTCCAAATACAACCAAAAATAATTATATAGTTATTGTGTATAAAAAACATTACATGTCATAAAATTTAAATCTCTTTTAAGATAAAAAACAGAGACAGATATAGAATGCAATTGTATTATTGATGAACTCGAATTATCTATTAAACAACGAAAATATTGATAGATAGATGAACCATGTTCATATATTTTAAGATTTTTATGAGTAGAATGTTATATTATTTAACTATTTGATAATCATTTTAAATGTATATATATTTATTTATTTGCATTTTGTTTAGTTATTGTGATTATTTATGGATGTTTTAAACAAGAAAAAAAATAATTTTTGGTGTAGTTTTTAAATGAAAGAAGCCTTGTTCAAATTTTATTAAAATTAGAAAAAAATTTATTATCTAAAATTATTAACTAAATTAGAAATAAAATTAGCAAACCGAATAATAATTCTCATATAAAACATTTTTTATTCGATTTAAATCCTAGAAAATTTATTGCTGCATTTTCATGTAATAGTTGAGATAACGACTAAAATTTAATTAATATCACAATTCTGAATTATAATATTTAACCAAAACTTTTTGCCGCCACATTTCCTTTTTAAATTCTATATTAATTGCCCAATGTGTCCGTACGGGAGGAGGGAATAAAGTTTGATCGACGATGAAGTGGGTCCCACACTTGGAGGAATGCGAGCAATTGGCCCATGCTTTAAAAGGTTCGGGCCGACAAGGAGAATCATGGTAATCCTAGTTTGTTCTGATGCCACGTGGATGAGCACCACGATGGAAAGGAATAGGGCTGCTCTTTTCTATTTCTCTCTTGATTCTTTTTGCTCATGATTTATACTTCCTCCTGCTCATCAATGGAACTAGTTAGGATCCTACGGTTAGCCTTCAAACACCTAAAAACTACTTCCTTCGAGATTTTATCTTATAAAAAGCGATCAAAACACCAACGCGGTTTCCCTCTCTCTCTCTCTCTCTCTCTCATGAAGGCATGGCCTTCTGCCTAACTAAAAATACCTAACAGTCAAGGCAATCCTTAGCTAATCCCTTTCTTTCTCGTTAAGTCTTCTTGATCTTCCACCTCCTATATTAAAAAGTTGGTGAAGAAGCAAGATCTCAAGGAAGATTTAGGGAGACAGAGAAACCAAGAGTATCGGTAATGACACAAGAAATATGGGTTGTTCCATTTTTTGGGCAGGGCCATCTCCTGCCGAGTATGGAACTCTGCAAACACGTCGCATCAAGAAACTTCCGAACCACCCTTGTCATTCCCTCCAACCTCTCCTCCAATATCCCCTCCTATCTTCACCTATATCCACTTCTTGAAATAGCTGAGTTACCCTCTTCTCCACCACCTTTACAGCAGCCAGGACTCGACCCGCCTTTCCCCCCTCATATGCACCACAACCAGATGGCACAAGGTCTTGAAAACCTCCTTTCAACCCGATCACAGAACCCGGACTCGGGACTACCCGCGTGTGCTATTG